CGGCCTGGAGTAAATTCCTGTGGGACTCGATTACAGTCTTGATATGACCATATTTTTGGTTGGCGTACCTTATGTAACTTGCTAGTCTATAGACGTCACCTGGGTCAGTTTCGACACAGAAATGACATTTCATAAGCAGTTTTCCTAAGGGACGTTGAAGAGCTGTCAAGAATCTTGCATTCCTTTCTAAAGGATTCATTCTTGCGATAAATGGAGCCTGATAGGGCTTATGTAGCTAGTGGTATAGCTATAGTCTGCTCCTTGATGCAGAGCAGGTATAATTATTGACAGCCTGATAAAGCTTATGTAGCTAGTGGTATAGCTATGGTGTCTGCTCCTTGATGTAGAGCAGGTATAAGTATTGACAGCCTGTTATTTCTTGAGGCTGGTTGTAATTTACCTCATTTAGAGGTTAGCTATCTACCTAATAATAAGCAACTAAGATTTGAGTGGTACCTTGGTCTCACTACAGGTGTTCCTCAGCTTAGCTCTTCCAAATCAGCTTCGGATGGGTAGTGGACTTACAGTAACACTCAAAGACATACATAGAAATATGCAATAAAATAATTACACAATAAATGGTTAATCCCACCCTTGATAGGGTCAGCACAAAAGAATAATATATGTGTCACTAACTAGCTCAAGCCTAGTCGTGAGAATTTCTACTTGAGAAACTACAACTATATTTAGTCTGTGCTTGTGCCAGATTCAACACAATCACAGCCTAAATTGCTACCTACCTAAGGTTGGCAAAGATTATATTATGGTGCAGTAATGTGCAAATAATTGTGCTGTGTTTTTGGGTTTTTTGGATTTTATATAATATACACTTGTGTAATTATGTGTATAAGAAATTAAATGAACACAAAGAATTAATTGTGTTTGGCAAGTATTCTACTGCCGTAAATATTATCTAACTCCTGAATGTACTCCTAATTGTGGAATAAAATGTTATCAGGGTTAGTAATGATTAACTAGTATGAGATCAGTAATTTATATGAGTATACTGGATCCCTAAATGTTAATGATCCACTGACTTGAGTGAATCAGTAATTATAACATGGATTCAGGCTATAATGGACAGTCTGCTGACAGCGATATATTGAAGCATTGGTATAGCCTAAATGGTTAACACTTAATTGGTGTTAGTGATTAATATAAGGTTATGAGCTGTTGCTCTTGGTGACCTAAAGATTCTACTTCAGTATGAAGTGTAGGTCTAAATGTTGTGGGTAATTGGCTATGACCCACTAAAGCTATGTATAAGGTAGCTGTTAGTGTGATCTAGGCTAACTGATGTGTTACACTGTTAGTTGACACAGTTAATTAAATAGTTAATCTAGCTTCTATCACACAAGGATTAGTTATTAATGGTTAATATTTTAATTATAAATTTAATGCCTATCCGGTTCGATAAGGACCATACTGTGGGATATTTGGGATTGATTCTGATTATTTAATTATTAATGTAGTAAATTAAATTACGAAGGACCACCCGCTTTTAAAGTAAAGAGGGAAACTGAGAATTTCTGATCATTGGATAATTTCTAGAGGAACCCAGTGACTATGGATATAACTAGAAAACATGATCATAATAATAATTAATGGGCTGTATTATTAAATGAAACAAACCTCAAACACCTACATTGGGGGGTTATTACTGGAGGTAAGTACGTCCAGGAATTAGTGTGGTTCGTTCACTAATTCAATTAATAATAATCTAATCCTATAAGGTAATGTTGAAACTAATATCATTCACATAAAGAAGAATATAAATATGAGCATAATAATGAGTTACAGTAAATCATACATTAATCTCAAAGCACTCTGCACAAATTAAATTGCAAAGGAACGAAAAAAAGGAAATAAATCTTAGCCTGACGAAGATTCCTTTAGTAAGCCATAGAAGTCCTCTTATTCTCCAGACTCGGTACACTAACGAGTGGAACGGGCTAACATGGATGAAGGCAGCATGAGGAATTCTTCTCTCGTGCTGCAAGATAAATAATTTCCAGTAGCAATTGATTTAACTACTCAATTTATATTCAAGAATATTAAGAATTTACAGATGACAAATTTAATCACCTGTTATTAGGTGTTATCGCGCTTCTTAACGAACAATCACCCTGCTATTATCATACTTCTACCTGATGCATCAAATAAAAGAATACTTAGCTGTGGGCACTGTATAAGTATTAAGATTGCCGTATTTCGCATCCCAGGCTCCGGTGAACCTATCCTGGATAATGATGCTGGCTGATCACGTGTCGTCAGGAACCAAGTTAAATAACCAAGTTAAGTTAAGGAGCCCAAAAGGGCTCCTTATTTAACACCAGCACTAGTTGAAGATATTATCTGCAAGGTTATTCACGCCTCACAGTGGCTGCTTTCATCTGTGGATGGATAACACCTGCCCTATTTGCTGGGCAATGGCATCTTCTTATGAGTACGGTAAGCGCAGTTCTGCTTCCTTTCGGCTCTGCACGTGTCCGCGTACTGAGGAGGATGGCGTCCCTCCAACCCACGCCGAGTCGGCGTTCATAAAACAAATTATTGTCTCGAACATTAATATTTCTCGCATTTGCGCTTGAAACGTTAAAGACTGGACGGGTTTATTATTTAGAGGAACAAAATATTATTATTTATCAATCTAAGAATAGTAAATATAAGGGAGAGGAATTAATGTCTCCCCATGGCATTCATTGATGACGTTAACTCTATCGCGAGGTAGACGCTATGATTCTAACGCTCTATTCGGCTTTTAGTTAGAGAACAATTCGTCTGCAATCAGTTGTCATACAGAATGCTTTAATTATGGAGAATCGTATTTAATTCTCACACAAATTGGATATAATGTGTTTACTGTAAGGAAATCTGACGTAATACTGGCGTCAAATGACGTGAGAATTCTAGCCTAATGCACAGATGAATTATTAGTACATGAGAATTCTACGAGTTGTTAATTTTACTTACTACAATATTTAGTATGGTTAGTAATAAGTAATAAGAATACAACAATGTTGTATTCGGTGTTGGAAATATCCAACAGCCCTTCTCCTTCCATCATTCTGAATCATGCTCATCATACTAACCTGCACCCCCTCAATCCCCCCCCCCCCACCATCTTCACACAATCTGTGGCCAACATTTTTCGTTTCATTCAGATTTTCATCAAAATATGTCGAAGATTTCTCTTTGGGTTGTTTTAAGGGGCCTGACAGCCGAGTGGACAGCGCTTCGGATTCGTAATCCTGAGATTCCAGGTTCGATCCCCGGTGGAGGCTGAAACAAATGGGCACTTTCTTTCACCCTGATGACCCTGTTTACCTATCAGTAAATAAGTACCTGGGAGTTAGACAGCTGCTATGGGCTGCTTCCTGGGGATGTGTAAGAAAAAGAAGGCCTGGTCGAGGACCGGGCCGCGGGGGACGCTAAGCCCCGAAATCATCTCAAGATAACCTTAAGATTGCTGGCTAACTACTGGCATGGCTATTAAGGCCACCACAAGCGCACTAATGACTTAACTAGCGGGTACACCTATGGCTGCCACCTGACAGTCACCTCTATATTTTCTCTAAATACATATAATATACAAAATAATAACGAATAACAACATGAAGTACACACCCCGAACAATCCTTCCTATATTATCATTGATTAATGATATCTGTAACACATTTATTTTTTGCTCACTGGTAATCAACGTGACCCTTGCCAGGCGGCGGCTGGTCGACAAATGAGCCACACGTTAAGAAGTGGGACTCCCAGACGCGCCACTCACCCTTACTTCACCATAATATCTAAACTGTCAACCTCTAATACAGTTAAGCATCTGACCACCAGAGGCGCTAATGCTTCCCTGTTATTACGCCATCCATATAATGATTGCTCTCATTATTCATTGTTGCAACATTTAAATACATTCAACACACTGTAGTGACAGTGTCAGATGCAGGCGATGAGTCACAATAACGTGGCTGAAGTATGTTTACCAGACCACTCACTAGAAGTTGAAGGGACGACGACGTTTCGGTCCGTCCTGGACCATTCTCAAGTCGATTGTGAAGAGGAGGTAGAGACAGGCAATAAATAGGCAAGAGAGAGCTGAGGAGGAAAGTAAGGTGTAGGGGATAGTAGTAATAATGAGAACTGCAGAAGGCCTATTGGCCCATACGAGGCAGCTCCTATTATAACCACGGAAGGAGATAGTAATAGGAATAAGAAGAGGATAGCAAGGGAGCGTAGGAGAAGACAATGGACAGAAAAAGGTGAGAAGAGAGAAAGAAAAGGAAAGAGAAAGAAAGATAAATGGAAGGGGTAAGCTTATGTTAAGTCACGTTTGTTAGAAAGTTTTGAGCATTTGAGTATATACTGTGAAAGGGAAGAGTCCACAGCAACAAAGCCAGGACTCAAGTTCATGTTGGGTACATTGTGTATAAGAGCCGATTCTACAAGACGGCGTCTGTGTAGAGTAGAGGCAGGAAAGATTATTTTGTAGGAAGACCAATCAATGGGATGATTAGAATCCCTCACATGGCAGAAGAGAGTATTGTTAGTGTCTGCAGACTTAACACTTCTCTTGTGTTCTTTAAGTCTGCCATTCAGTGTGCGGCCAGTTTGCGCAAATGAAATTTTTTTGACCATCATTGTTTGCTGTGATCGCCAACATGGTATTTAGAAAAAGTTGATCTGCTGCTGACCTCTTGCTAAATCTCTCCACTAAGTGACATTAGACGCTGGATGAATCATAGATCAGCAGTGTTGTTGATCTAAATATAGCAGGTGCATTTGAGTGGGTCTGGATTAGTAGGAAAGCATCACACACTAGCCCCTATCAGTCACCATTCTGCAATATAAAAAAAATCCCCCATGCTTTCCACATCACTTTTAATACAGGAAATATGGAGTGGATTAACAGGAATGAGAGAGGACCAAGTCAGAGAGAGAGAGAGCTGAGTCTATGTTCCCTCTCTATTACAGGCCAAAACAAAAATTCATACCTTGGATTAATTTCCAACTGAGGCTGCAAAAGTGAGTATCTGGTCTCTTCGGGTACTGTGTAAATTGAGTGCGTACGAAGTGTCTTGCTGCACCCATGTCTTCCACAGTGATGACACATGGATGCGACTCCAGACGAGAAGTAGCCTTCACTCCCCAACATCGTCCAGCCAACACAGTTTTTAGCCAGTCCATAAATTCATTTGCTTGGGAACGACGAAGACTACTCTCAGCTGACACTGTAAAAAAAAATTGGACACAATTTATGTTATATGCAATAAAAACCCAGAGTTGAATTTAATGAAACGCCATTTTCTGGGTGAGACCTGGAGGCTCCCCGGAGCTTACTAGGCTGATATGCTAATGTCAGCCTTTGGCATCAGTCATGTGTATGGAGTTCTGTGGGCCTACCGGGGACCACGAGGCAGAACCTGGCCCCCTCAAAGTGAGGGCCAGGCATGGGGAGCAATGGCCTATAGAAACCCTCGTGTGGTTGGAAGCATTCTATGTCTGCCATCGACCAGGTCAGGCACCCAGAAAGGTAAGCATCCCAAAACAAACCCCTATTCTGGTGAAATTATTGATACCACAAGCCGAACAAGTGGATAGAACTCCCCCTAAAAGAAACGAGCATGACGTCACACGTCGCCGTGCCGCTTTCTGCACAGCTGGTGGGAGCCTCAGACCCCCTACGCCGGCTATCCACCCTTCAGTTCTGAGGCTGGATGTCAAAACATGCAAAAAACTGCCGACCAGAGGGAGGGAGGGAGGGATGCCAGGGAGCCTCCGGGTCTCGCCCAGAAAATGGCATTTCATTACATTCAACACAGGTTTTCTGGGGGGAGCCCCTCCGGCTCCCCAAAGCTCCTCAGAGCTACTTGCCAAACGACAAAAACATGAGGGACTTACCCCAGAGGCAGTTGGCACTCACCCCTCAAAGCGAAGTCGAGACAACTGGCTGCAACCATCGACCCAAAGCAACACAGGCCTCGGATCATTGACCAAGTAGCGCGCTGCCAGGACCCTGTCCGACCGCCAAAAACTCAGCACCCGAATCTCGGCCCAAGACATGTTACCGAAGACGGCAGCAATGAGCAGCAAACTTACGAATGACGTGGCCACGGGGATAGACCGTAGGCTGGCTAGACCGAATAACCCTACAGACGACCTGGGAGACTCGAACCCTGGAAAAGGGAAGGAGGGAGGCCGGATCAACCCAAAGCGAGTAACCCGATACAGAAGCCGTGGCGCGCAAATGACGGTGGAGAGCCGCAACCAGACAACACATGATGCACCCACAGCCTGACCAACCAAGCATCAACAACCCAAGGCCCCTCCGGAAAGCAGCCATCTCATTCTTTGCCAGAAAAGAAGAAGTGGGACAAACTGCAAAAGTGCTGGTGCAAATCCTGAGGCATTACGAGCAGGGCAAGTACGGTGTCGACCCATTACAAATGAGGCCACCCCAGGTGGCACATGCAACCCGGCCTCAGACTCCACCTATGGCCTACCTCGACCAACTCATGGGCATAGCTCTCTTCCTGGCCAGAGCAGAGCACCCGGACATTCTCTGAGAGCCAATCTGGAAGGAGCTCAAGGAGGCTCAGCAAGCCTACGACAGAACCCAAGTGCCGACAGGCCCGAAGGTAATCCACCACAAACAATGCCAACAGCGAGGGAAATAACATGAAGCTGCAGCTCACTAACTTTTGTGAGAAAGGGCGGAGCCAAAGATAGGCATCAAGGGGCTCAAAGTCGAGACCCTTTAAAACCTAGAACACTTTCCCAAGTCCACGCCACTCCAGCATGCAGGGATCGGCAAAGCCGCGCCAAGAAAAGTGAGAAAAACAATGGGGTGTCAGCTAGCCAAAACGACCGAAAAACCTTGGAATGTACCAAATAGGATAAGAAGAACCTGAACTCAAAACAGGCCAGGGCCAAAGCCAAGGAAAAAACTGGGCCACACAACAGAAGCTCATGCTCCTCCAAAGGGGAAGACATGAGGACAGAAACCTCCAGAAAGATGCCTACCCCCAGGGAAACCCAAAGGAACCCCGAAAGCAAAATTGAGAGGGAGTCGAACCCAAGTCTAAAAACGTACAGGTATGAAATATCCCACTCCTGCATAAAAATACCATGCATGAGTATGAAAATATCCCACCCCAGTAGGAGTATGAGTAGCCTGGGAGAAGCTTCGGCACAGCTTGTTTTAACAAAATAACTGGTCACACAGACCACAATGCACCCCACCAACCAAAACACTTCCAAACCAAGGAAAAACAAAGTCACAGATTTACTTATTAAAGGCTTTAATATATTTAATTTATTTAATAACACAGATTAAAGGTTTACCTTAAGGGCGAGGACCACCACAAGTGAGGAAGCCCCCCTGAAAGGAGTGTTGACTGAATGCCCCCAGGGAAAGATAACCTTCACCGTGCAAGGCTAGTACTTACAGAGCGCACAGGGAAGGAAACCCTGAGCACATGCAGTTCCAGTACACTAAACTCCTGGCTCACGCACACATCCCTATAGGAACACACCGCCTCAAAAGCAAAAATACCAAAGAAAACGGATACCAGAGCCAGAGCAAAGTGACTACCAGGCCCAGGCATCAGTATAGAACTAGACTCTGCACGGCCTGGCTGACCCCGGCAGGTGGGTGGGGGGGGCAGACTAGTGAAGAAGGGGGGTGGGCAGACTAGTGAAGGGGGGGGGGGGGCTAGTTTTACAAAATTTTGTTTTCATTGTGGGGGAGTTCGTTTGGGAAATTTTAGGCTACGGTTTCGTTTTAACCATGCAGTAGTCTGTTTTGATTTGCTTATCTTGCTAGGAGCCTTCCCTTGGATGGTGGAAAAGATGATAAACTTTACATTTATTTAAAGTATTCACAGGCCATTGCTCCCTGCTCCTCTCTGAGGGGGGGGGCAGGATCTGGCTCATAGTTGTTTTGTTGCATAAGATTCGCTCCTTGGAACAAAAAGTTCCAAGTAGCACGGGCTATGGTGAGCCCGTAGTGGACTTTTTTCTCATAGTCCACAGAAGGCCAACAGAACTCTGCAACTGATGACACCTAGTAGTATGGCACTTATTCAGTGTGATAGCTTCAGAGAGCTGACAATTTCCCTCACAGAAAATACAATAACAAAAGCAGTATTAAAAATCAAATTAATGATTTGAATGCACTTGTGTGCAAAGATTCAATGCGCATTATGGAATTTTAATTAATCCAGATTGTAGATGAATTTAGACAATTGGAAAATTACGAGAACAGAAAATTATGGACACCAGTTATTTCACATTAATATACAAATTAAAAGAGGAGGGGAATTAGCAGTAATATCAGATTTTTTTTAAATTTTCACCAAAGAATGAATAAAAACTTATAAACATAATGTTTTTCTATGTCGTCTTAGCAGCCAGTTAGAGAAGTTATACAATAGTTGTTAAGTTTCTTACTTCCTTCGTTATCAACTGCTTCTTTATCCTGACGCATTTCTTTCTCTACAGAAACAATTTTCCTGTTAGTGAATTCCCGTAGCTGCATGAGAACTACTTCATCATAGGGCTCGTAGCAGAATAACACTTCCACATTGCGTTCCTGCATAAGAGAAAAAAGAAACACATTAACTGTTATATCCTCAGTATCATAATTCTAAGAACTGTTCAGCATTGCAAATATCACTAAATTATTGTATTGAGTGGGACACCTTAAACCTAAATGGTTCAGAGATTAAGGTGTGGATGAACAAGTAAGTCTGTTTTAGACCTGGAACAGTTCCACACCGGCTAGTCTTAGATGATATAACTACTATTTGAGTCTTATTATTTCCACAACCTATTTTTTTCAGGGGAAAGCCCCTAGTGGCTCCCTGAAGCTACTATACTGATATAGTGCCAAACTACAAGGTGCCATCAGTTGTGGAGTTCGTATTGACAGAACCTGACCCACCTCACAGGTGCAGGGAGCAAAGACAGTTATGAAAAAAATTATGTCAACTTATTTCTGTTTGCCACCACCAAAGCAAGGCACCTAGAAAATCAATGCAACAAAATAGACCACAGCCTCAAAACCACTAAATGAACAACAATGTAAACAAACAAGTCAGGTGTCAGCCAACTGCTCCACCCTCAGTTCTAATGCTGAGATGTATGTGCCTAGTTCCTCTCTCATTGTTCTGGCTCTGGTCTTTGTTTCAGCTCAGTGGTGTTTTGCCCTCGAGGCTTTTTCTGTGTATGGTTGTGCAACGTGAGCCAGGAGTTTAGTGTTCTTAGAGCTGCATGTGCCCAGGGCTACCTTCCATGTGCGCTCATTAAGTGCTGTCCTTGCGTTGTCAGGGTTCACTCCCTAAAGGGGTCTCCATGCTTGTGGTAGCTCTCGCCCTGAAGGTAAGCTTATTGTCTTGGATTGTCAGTCTCTCCTTGGGTCGAGTGTGTCTATATGCTGGTGGGGCGCACTGAGGTAGGCCTTCCAGATTACCATACCTGGTTTGGTCTGCTATTCTCCTGTGTTCCACGGTCGGGTACCTTGAGAGTTAGTGTACTTAATTTGTAATTCGGTCCTTTTATGGCCTTTATTTTTCATTGTGCCCTCATTCCTCTAAAGGGGGGTTTATTTGTGCCATTCCTGACTTATTAGGCTTACCTAGTGTCTAGGCATGGATGGTCCCCTTTTTGGTTTCTCTCTTGCTCTTTCTGGTGGTATTGAGTGTTAATAGGGAAACCTATACAATTATATAGGAGTTACCAGCATAGCAATAACAGTGCCTGGGCATACCTGCAGGGAACATTCATCCTGCAAGCCCTGGAAAACCCCTATGGGTTTGGTGGTCCTTGTGATCTACCCATCATCCCTGCTCTCACTTCGAGCAAATTTCTGGGTTGCGCACCATCCATGCTTTGTGGCAATGCTCAGTTTGTTTGCCTCCACTGCTACCTGTTGGGTCTGTGACACCTTTGGCCCTGAGTCATGAAGGGGATGCTCCCTTCAAGTTGCTCTACTCTGCCAATTTTGGAGGGGCTTCTGGCAGCAACTGCTGGTGTCTTTAGTTCCTGGATTGCAGCAGTCAAGGTTTTGTCCCCGGTTTGAGGTCCGGGGCTAGCAAATGATGCTTGTCTCATGGAATAGGCGGTGACTTTGTCCATACCTCCTTTTCCTTCTTTCTCCTTTGGGCAGGGGGTTTGCCCTTCTTTTCCCCTGCCCCTGGCCCAGTAGCAGGTTAAGGATTGAGGTGGGGTTTTTCTTTGGGATATCCCTTCCTTCAGCTACGAGGGTTGTCCCTTTCAATTCGAGTGTAGATACAGTTGAGCCTTCTCATCTTGCCAAGGTTTCTGGGTACTCCTTTTTAGTTCCATCACACAAAACAATAAAAAAACAGCTTTGAATGTAATGAAACGTCATTTTCTAGGTGAGAGCCCGGAAGCTCCCCAGAGCTATCCAGGCAGATATGTATACAGTATTATTACACTTTGGCATCAGTGTGAATGAAGTTTTAGGCCTACCAGGGACCACGAGCCAGAACCTGGCCCCCTCAGAGAGGCACGAGGAGCAATGGCCTATAGAACTGCACATGTGATTTGGAGCATTCTATGTCTGCCATTGACCAGGCCAAGCACCCAGAAAGGCAAGCGCCTCAAAACAAGCCCCTCTTCTGGTTAAAACCACTACTGAAACTAACGAGTGGACAGAACTCCCCAAATGAAAACGAGCATGATGTCACAATGTGCCGTGTCACTTGTCTGCGCAGACCCCCCACCCCCCCACCCCCGGGAGGGGGAAGGGGGAGCCCCAGACCCCTCATGCCAGCGATCCACACCCCAGTTCTCGGCTGATGTGATAAGGCTCAATCGTGTGGCTCCAGCTCCAGATTCTCTCTGTTGTGCTATGCCTTGTGTTCAGTACTGCTCATACAGTGGCGTGTGAGCTGGGAGTAATAATCTAATATTCACAGGTACTCGGGCTGCATGTGCTTAGGGTTCCCTTCCCCGAGTGCCCTGTACTGAGTGCTGAGTGCCCTGTACTGAGTGCTGAGTGCCCCAGTCCTTGGGGACTGGGGTTGTCTTCCACAAGGCACTTGGGAACTACCTCTGTTGGTCTTTTGCTGCTCGGTAATTGACCGCCCTGGGAGTGTTGGGGGGTTTCCTCTTCGCTTTTTACCTTGGGGGTAACTGGTAGTTTTTTGCACTGGTAGGAGCACAGGGTACTGCGCAGCTAGTTTTCACATGTTACAGTGGCCGGCTCTGTTCCTTCTGGGTACGTTGATCTCTTGCGGGGTTTTCTTTTCATTGTTTTTTTTGTACCTAGTGGGGGGGGGCTGCTTTTGTACCTAGTGGGGGGGCGGGCTGCTTTTGTACCTAGTGGGGGGGGGGGCCTGCTTTTGTACCTAGTGGGGGGGGGCCTGCTTTTGTACCTAGTGGGGGGGGCCTGCTTTTGTACCTAGTGGGTGGGTGGGGGGGGGCCTGCTTTTGTACCTAGTGGGGGGGGGCTTGCTTTTGTACCTAGTGGGGGGGCCTGCTTTTGTACCTAGTGGGGGGGGCCTGCTTTTGTTCCCCTGCCCCCTGTTATATTAGGATCTTGACCTCCTGGGCTCGGTGGTTCCCCCTGCTTGGCCCCCATGAGAGGACACGTCCCGGGGGTTCAGTTTTAGAAATTTGTTTGGTAGACTTGGGTGCCAGTTAGCAGTACCCTGGCTGGGCTTACCCTTAACAAAACCAGTCTTAGGGCCCTGGGAGGCCCTGTAGGGGTGAAAGGTGTCCAATGGATGCGACCCCTGGGTCCCCACTCACTTTTTGAGAGTTTGAAGGTTGCTCTGTCCCCTTGTCTCAGGGCAATGCTCAATGTTTTTGCCTCCGTTATGCTGCCTGTAGAGTAAGTGACACCTTCGACCCCGAGTCCTGCTGTTACGAATCTTACTAGGATTCTAACATTACTCTTGATGCTTATATTACTATTGTCTTGTTCTATAATTATTATATTATCCAGTTGGATGATTTTTTATTCTTGTGTGTTATATATTGTAGCATGCTGTTGTGTGCCCGAGTTGCATTATATTGTATGAGGCTTTTGCAAGTATTTTCATGTTAGTTTTCCCGTGTGGGGGTTGACCATATTTGGATGTGGCCAGTGTGGGAACTTGATGTCAAGCGAGTGAGTATAGTTCAACCTTGACTAATTCTTATTATTGTTTGCCAGTAAATTATATTGAGTAATGTAACATTATTATATACTCTTATGATTATTAATGATTTGAATATTAGCACTACATTTTGTTAGTAGAATTTCCACAATAGTTTATGTAGATGTTTAATTGATATTGTGGTAGACACCTGCCCTGGGAACCGACGCTTTGTCAGTGGCGTGGCAGCTTTGGTCGAGAGGTGACATGTTTTAAGTCCTTGGTTATGGTTATTTTAGCTAATACTCGGTTAATTCTCTGGTTAGATGATTGTGTATTTTCCCAAATTAGAATTCATGTGCTGGTGTGATTGCTCATTGCTCAATAAGGATTTCATTTATATTATTGCATGCTAAAGAATATTTCTGGCTATTATCTGTATTATTTAATTGTTGCTTGTCAACCTTAGCGTAGATACATTGTTTCCCCAAGTTATGCAGTGTTTTATTCCCTTTACCCCTTCCCCACACATTTGTTGGCAAGGGGTATGCCAATTACTGAAAGCGGCAGTGGGTCACATTTTGCCCATACCCCCCTGCAGTTTTCAAAATATCCCAAACATTCCAAATTCGACACCTGAGACATATTTTGGAGCCAAATTCTGGCTCTCTGCACCTATTCGCAGTTTGAAATTCCGACTTTTTATATAGAAAATATGCCAATTACTGAGAGCGGCAGTGGGTCACATTTTGCCCAAACCCCCCTGCAGTTTTCAAAATATCCCAAACATACCAAATTCGATACCTGAGCCATATTTTGGATCCAAATTCAGGCTCTCTGCACCTATTCGCTGTTTGAAAATCTGATTTTATACCAAAAATATGCCAATTACTGAAAGCGGCGGTGGGTCACATTTTGCCCAAACCCCCCTGCAGTTTTCAAAATATCCCAAACATACAGAATTCGATACTTGAGCCATAATTTGGACCCAAATTCTGGCTCTCTGCACGTATTCGCAGTTTGAAATTACGATTTTTTATACCTAACATATGCCAAGTACTGAAAGCGGCAGTGACTCACATTTTGCACAAACTCCCCTGCAGTTTTCAAAATATCCCAAATATCTCAATTTCGAGGCCTGAGCCATATTTTGGAGCCAAATTCTGGCTCTCTGCACATATTCACAGTTTGAAATTACGACTTTTTATACCCAACATATGCAAAGTCCTGCAAGCGGCAGTGAGTCACATTTTGCACAAACTCCCCTGCAATTTTCAAAATAACCTAAACATCCTAATTTCAAGGCCTGAGCCATATTTTGGAGCCAAATTCTGGCTCTTTGCACGTATTCGCAGTTTGAAATTACGACTTCTTTATACCCAACATATGCCAAGTACTGAAAGCGGCATTTGGTCACATTTGTCTCAATCCCCTCTGCAGTTTTCAAAATATCCCAAATATCCCAATTTCGAGGCATGAGCCATAT